CTTGGTTCCGTCCGGGATCGAACTGGAGACCTTTCGCGTGTGAAGCGAACGTGATAACCACTACACTACGGAACCGCACAATAGGTAGGAACGTCTTGAATTAAAGAGACAAAATTTAAAGCTTGTACACTAAATTGGGTATATTGACATATATTTGCACGTGATTAAAGTAAAGCGTACAATAAAATAAGAATTATCCTCGCGTGAATTCCATAGGTATTCACCCTGCAACGCATTCCGTGGGATAAAATAAAACACCCGGTGCTTGGTTCCGTCCGGGATCGAACCGGAGACCTTTCGCGTGTGAAGCGAACGTGATAAACACCTACACTACGGAACCGCACAAGGTAGGGAACGTCTTGAATTAAAGAGACAGATTTAAAGCTTGTACACTAAATTAGATATCTTTGCCATATATTATGCACGTGATTAAAGTAAAGCGTACAGTAAAAATAAGAATTATCCCTCGCGTGAATTCCATAGCGTATTCACCCTGCAACGCATTCCGTGGGATAAAAAAAACACTCCGGCCTTGGTTTCCGTCCGGGATCGAACCGAGACCTTTCGCGTGGAAGCGAACGTGATAACCACTACACTACGGAACCGCACAATAGGTAGGGAACGTCTTGAATTAAAGAGACAGATTTAAAGCTTGTACACTAAATTAGATATCATTGACATATATTATGCACGTGATTAAAGTAAAGCGTACAATAAAAATAAGAATTATCCTCGCGTGAATTCCATAGCGTATTCACCCTGAAAACGCATTCCGTGGATAAAGTAAAACACTCCGGTGCTTGGTTCCGTCCGGGATCGAACCGGAGACCTTTCGCGTGTGAAGCGAACGTGATAACCACTACACTACGGAACCGCACAATAGGTAGGGAACGTCTTGAATTAAAGAGACAGAATTAAAGCTTGTACACTAAATTAGATATCATTGACATATATTATGCACGTGATTAAAGTAAAGCGTACAATAAAATAAGAATTATCCCCTCGCGTGAATTCCATAGCGTATTCACCCTGCAACGCATTCCGTGGATAAAGTAAAACACTCCGGGCTTGGTTCCGTCCGGGATCGAACCGAGACCTTTCTGGGGTGAAGCGAACGTGATAACCACTACACTACGGAACCGCACAATAGGTAGGGAACGTCTTGAATTAAAGAGACAGAATTAAAGCTTGTACACTAAATTAGATATCATTGACATATATTATGCACGTGATTAAAGTAAAGCGTACAATAAAAATAAGAATTATCCTCGCGTGAATTCCATAGCGTATTCACCCTGCAACGCATTCCGTGGGATAAAGTAAAACACTCCGGCCCTTGGTTCCGTCCGGGATCGAACCGGAGACCTTTCGCGTGTGAAGCGAACGTGATAACCACTACACTACGGAACCGCACAATAGGTAGGGAACGTCTTGAATTAAAGAGACAGAATTAAAGCTTGTACACTAAATTAGATATCATTGACATATATTATGCACGTGATTAAAGTAAAGGCATAAAATAAGAATTATCCTCGCGTGAATTCCATGGCGTATTCACCTGCAACGCATTCCGTGGGATAAAGTAAAACACTCGGCGCCTTGGTTCCGTCCGGGATCGAACCGAGACCTTTCATGCGTGTGAAGCGAACGTGATAATCCACTACACTACGGAACCGCACAAATAGGTAGGAACGTCTTGAATTAAAGAGACAGAATTAAAGCTTGTACACTAAATTAGATATCATTGACATATATTATGCCGTGATTAAAGTAAAGCGTACAATAAAAATAAATTATCCCTCGCGTGAATTCCATAGCGTATTCACCTGCAACGCATTCCGTGGGATAAAGTAAAACACTCGGCTTGGTTCCGTCCGGGATCGAACCGAGACCTTTCGCTGTGAAGCGAACGTGATAACCACTACACTACGGAACCGCACAATAGGTAGGGAACGTCTTGAATTAAAGAGACAGATTTAAAAGCTTGTACACAAATTAGATATCATTGACATATATTATGCACGTGATTAAAGTAAAGCGTACAATAAAAATAGAATTATCCCCTGCGTGAATTCCATAGCGTATTCACCCTGCAACGCATTCCGTGGATAAAGTAAAACACTCCGGCCTTGGTTCCGTCCGGGATCGAACGGAGACCTTTCGCGTGTGAAGCGAACGTGATAACCACTACACTACGGAACCGCACAATAGGTAGGGAACGTCTTGAATTAAAGAGACAGATTTAAAAGCTTGTACACTAAATTAGATATCATTGACATATATTATGCCGTGATTAAGAGTAAAGCGTACAATAAAAAAATTATCCCTCGCGTGAATTCCATACGTATTCACCCTCAACGCATTCCGTGGGATAAAAGTAAAACACTCCGGCCCTTGGTTCCGTCCGGGATCGAACGGAGACCTTTCGCGTGTGAAGCGAACGTGATAACCACTACACTACGGAACCGCACAATAGGTAGGGAACGTCTTGAATTAAAGAGACAGATTTAAAGCTTGTACACTAAATTAGATATCATTGAATATTATGCACGTGATTAAAGTAAAGCGTACAAAAAAATAAGAATTATCCTCGCGTGAATTCCATAGCGTATTCACCCTGCAACGCATTCCGTGGGATAAAGTAAAACACCCCGGCCCTTGGTTCCGTCGGGATCAACCGAGACCTTTCGCGTATGAAGCGAACGTGATAACCACTACACTACGGAACCGCACAATAGGTAGGGAACGTCTGAATTAAAGAGCAGATTAAAGCTTGTACACTAAATTTGATATCATTGACATATATTATGCACGTGATTAAAGTAAAGCGTACAATAAAAATAAAGAATTACCCCTCGCGTGAATTCCATAGCGTATTCACCCTGCAACGCATTCCGTGGATAAAGATAAAACACTCCGGCCCTTGGTTCCGTCCGGGATCGAACCGGAGACCTTTCGCGTGTGAAGCGAACGTGATAACCACTACACTACGGAACCGCACAATAGGTAGGGAACGTCTTGAATTAAAGAGACAGATTAAAAGCTTGTACACTAAATTAGATATCATTGACATATATTATGCACGTGATTAAAGTAAAGCGTACATAAAAATAAAATTATCCTCGCGTGAATTCCATGGCGTATTCACCCTGCAACGCATTCCGTGGGATAAAGTAAAACACTCCGGCGTTGGTTCCGTCCGGGATCGAACCGGAGACCTTTCGCGTGTGAAGCGAACGTGATAACCACTACACTACGGAACCGCACAATAGGTAGGGAACGTCTTGAATTAAAAAGACAGAATTAAAGCTTGTACACTAAATTAGATATCATTGACATATATTATGCACGTGATTAAAGTAAAGCGTACAATAAAATAAGAATTATCCTGCTGAATTCCATAGCGTATTCACCCTGCAACGCATTCCGTGGATAAAAGTAAAACACTCCGGCCCTTGGTTCCGTCCGGGATCGAACCGGAGACCTTTCGCGTGTGAAGCGAACGTGATAACCACTACACTACGGAACCGCACAATAGGTAGGAACGTCTTGAATTAAAGAGACAGAATTAAAGCTTGTACACTAAATTAGATATCATTGACATATATTATGCACGTGATTAAAGTAAAGCGTACATAAAAATAAGAATTATCCCCTCGCGTGAATTCCATAGCGTATTCACCCTGCAACGCATTCCGTGGGATAAATAAAACACTCCGGGCTTGGTTCCGTCCGGGATCGAACCGGAGACCTTTCGCGTGTGAAGCGAACGTGATAACCACTACACTACGGAACCGCACAATAGGTAGGAACGTCTTGAATTAAAGAGACAGAATTAAAGCTTGTACACTAAATTAGATATCATTGACATATATTATGCACGTGATTAAAGTAAAGCGTACAATAAAAATAAGAATTATCCCCTCGCGTGAATTCCATAGCGTATTCACCCTGCAACGCATTCCGTGGGATAAAAGTAAAACACTCCGGCGCTTGGTTCCGTCCGGGATCGAACCGAGACCTTTCGCGTTGTAAGCGAACGTGATAACCACTACACTACGGAACCGCACAATAGGTAGGGAACGTCTTGAATTAAAGAGACAGAATTAAAGCTTGTACACTAAATTAGATATCATTGACATATATTATGCACGTGATTAAAGTAAAGCGTACAATAAAAATAATTATCCTCGCGTGAATTCCATAGCGTATTCACCCTGCAACGCATTCCGTGGGATAAAGTAAAACACTCCGGCCCTTGGTTCCGTCCGGATCGAACCGGAGACCTTTCGCGTGTGAAGCGAACGTGATAACCACTACACTACGGAACCGCACAATAGGTAGGGAACGTCTTGAATTAAAGAGACAGAATTAAAGCTTGTACACTAAATTAGATATCATTGACATATATTATGCACGTGATTAAAGTAAAGCGTACAATAAAAATAAGAATTATCCCCTCGCGTGAATTCCATAGCGTATTCACCCTGCAACGCATTCCGTGGGATAAAGTAAAACACTCGGCCCTTGGTTCCGTCCGGGATCGAACCGGAGACCTTTCGCGTGTGAAGCGAACGTGATAACTACTACACTACGGAACCGCACAATAGGTAGGGAACGTCTTGAATTAAAGAGACAGATTTAAAGCTTGTACACTAAATTAGATATCATTGACATATATTATGCACGTGATTAAAGTAAAGCGTACAGTAAAAATAAGAATTATCCCCTCGCGTGAATTCCATAGCGTATTCACCCTGCAACGCATTCCGTGGGATAAAATAAAACACTCCGGTGCTTGGTTCCGTCCGGGATCGAACCGGAGACCTTTCGCGTGTGAAGCGAACGTGATAACCACTACACTACGGAACCGCACAATAGGTAGGGAACGTCTTGAATTAAAGAGACAGATTTAAAGCTTGTACACTAAATTAGATATCATTGACATATATTATGCACGTGATTAAAGTAAAGCGTACAATAAAATAAGAATTATCCTCGCGTGAATTCCATAGCGTATTCACCCTGCAACGCATTCCGTGGGATAAAGTAAAACACTCCGGCCTTGGTTCCGTCCGGGATCGAACCGGAGACCTTTCGCGTGTGAAGCGAACGTGATAACCACTACACTACGGAACCGCACAATAGGTAGGAACGTCTTGAATTAAAGAGACAGATTTAAAGCTTGTACACTAAATTAGATATCATTGACATATATTATGCACGTGATTAAAGTAAAGGTACAATAAAAATAAAATTATCCTCCGTGAATTCCATAGCGTATTCACCCTGCAACGCATTCCGGGGGATAAAGTAAAACCTCGGCCCTTGGTTCCGTCCGGGATCGAACCGGGAGACCTTTCGCGTGTGAAGCGAACGTGATAACCACTACACTACGGAACCGCACAATAGGTAGGGAACGTCTTGAATTAAAGAGACAGAATTAAAGCTTGTACACTAAATTAGATATCATTGACATATATTATGCACGTGATTAAAGTAAAGCGTACAATAAAAATAAGTATCCTCGCGTGAATTCCATAGCGTATTCACCCTGCAACGTATTCCGTGGGATAAATAAAACACTCCGGCCCTTGGTTCCGTCCGGGATCGAACCGAGACCTTTCGCGTGTGAAGCGAACGTGATAACCACTACACTACGGAACCGCACAATAGGTAGGGAACGTCTTGAATTAAAGAGACAGATTTAAAGCTTGTACACTAAATTAGATATCATTGACATATATTATGCACGTGATTAAAGTAAAGCGTACAATAAAAATTATCCCCTCGCGTGAATTCCATAGCGTATTCACCCTGCAACGCATTCCGTGGGATAAAGTAAAACACTCCGGCATTTGGTTCCGTCCGGGATCGAACCGGAGACCTTTCGCTTGTGAAGCGAACGTGATAACCACTACACTACGGAACCGCACAATAGGTAGGGAACGTCTTGAATTAAAGAGACAGATTTAAAGCTTGTACACTAAATTAGATATCATTGACATATATTATGCACGTGATTAAAGTAAAGCGTACATAAAATAAGAATTATCCTCGTGTGAATTCCATAGCGTATTCACCCTGCAACGCATTCCGTGGGATAAAGTAAAACACTCCGGCCCTTGGTTCCGTCCGGAGACCTTTCGCGTGTGAAGCGAACGTGATAACCACTACACTACGGAACCGCACAATAGGTAGGGAACGTCTTGAATTAAAGAGACAGAATTAAAGCTTGTACACTAAATTAGATATCATTGACATATATTATGCACGTGATTAAAGTAAAGCGTACAATAAAATAAGAATTATCCCTCGCGTGAATTCCATAGCGTATTCACCCTGCAACGCATTCCGGGGGATAAAGTAAAACACTCGGCCCTTGGTTCCGTCCGGGATCGAACCGGAGACCTTTCGCGTGTGAAGCGAACGTGATAACTCACTACACTACGGAACCGCACAATAGGTAGGGAACGTCTTGAATTAAAGAGACAGATTAAAGCTTGTACACTAAATTAGATATCATTGCATATATTATGCACGTGATTAAAGTAAAGCGTACATAAAATAAGAATTATCCTCGCGTGAATTCCATAGCGTATTCACCCCTGCAACGCATTCCGTGGGATAAAGTAAAACACTCCGGCCCTTGGTTCCGTCCGGGATCGAACCGGAGACCTTTCGCGTGTGAAGCGAACGTGATAACCACTACACTACGGAACCGCACAATAGGTAGGGAACGTCTTGAATTAAAGAGACAGATTTAAAGCTTGTACACTAAATTAGATATCATTGACATATATTATGCACGTGATTAAAGTAAAGCGTACAATAAAAATAAGAATTATCCCCTCGCGTGAATTCCATAGCGTATTCACCCTGCAACGCATTCCGTGGGATAAAGTAAAACACTCCGGCCCTTGGTTCCGTCCGGGATCGAACCGGAGACCTTTCGCGTGTGAAGCGAACGTGATAACCACTACACTACGGAACCGCACAATAGGTAGGGAACGTCTTGAATTAAAGAGACAGATTTAAAGCTTGTACACTAAATTAGATATCATTGACATATATTATGCACGTGATTAAAGTAAAGCGTACAATAAAATAAGAATTATCCCTCGCGTGAATTCCATAGCGTATTCACCTGCAACGCATTCCGTGGGATAAAGTAAAACACTCCGGCCCTTGGTTCCGTCCGGGATCGAACCGGAGACCTTTCGCGTGTGAAGCGAACGTGATAACCACTACACTACGGAACCGCACAATAGGTAGGGAACGTCTTGAATTAAAGAGACAGATTTAAAGCTTGTACACTAAATTAGATATCATTGACATATATTATGCACGTGATTAAAGTAAAGCGTACAATAAAAATAGAATTATCCCTCGCGTGAATTCCATAGCGTATTCACCTGCAACGCATTCCGTGGGATAAAGTAAAACACTCCGGCCCTTGGTTCCGTCCGGGATCGAACCGGAGACCTTTCGCTGTGAAGCGAACGTGATAACTCACTACACTACGGAACCGCACAATAGGTAGGAACGTCTTGAATTAAAGAGACAGATTTAAAGCTTGTACACTAAATTAGATATCATTGACATATTATGCACGTGATTAAAGTAAAGCGTACAAATAAATAAGATTATCCCTCGCGTGAATTCCATAGCGTATTCACCCTGCAACGCATTCCGTGGGATAATAAAAACACTCCGGCGTTGGTTCCGTCCGGGATCGAACCGAGACCTTTCGCGTGTGAAGCGAACGTGATAACCACTACACTACGGAACCGCACAATAGGTAGGGAACGTCTTGATAAGAGACAGATTTAAATTGTACACTAAATTAGATATCTTTTGCCATATATTATGACGGAAAAGTAAAGCGTAATAAAATAAGTATTACCCTCGCGTGAATTCCAAAAGGTATTCACCTGCAACGCTTTCCCGTGGATAAAAAAACACTCCGGGGTTGGTTCCGCCCGGGATCGACCGGGACCTTTCCGTGTGAAGCGAACGTGATAACCACTACACTACGGAACCGCACAATAGGTAGGGAACGTCTTGAATTAAAGAGACAGATTTAAAGCTTGTACACTAAATTAGATATCATTGCATATTTTATGCACGTGATTAAAGTAAAGCGTACAGTAAAATAAGAATTATCCCCTGCGTGAATTCCATGGGTTTTCACCCTGCAACGCATTCCGTGGGAAAAAATAAACACTCCGGCTTGGTTCGTCCGGATCGAACCGAGACCTTTCCGTGTGAAGCGAACGTGATAACCACTACACTACGGAACCGCACAAAGGTGGAACGTCTTGAATTAAAGAGACAAAATTTAAACTTGTACCCCAAATTAGATATAAATTGAAAATATATTATGCACGTGATTAAAGTAAAGCGTACATAAAAATAAGAATTATCCTCGCGTAAATTTCCCAAAGCGATTCACCTGCAACGCATTCCGTGGAAAAAAGTAAAACACCCCGGCCTTGGTTCCGTCCGGGATCGAACCGAAGACCTTCGCGTGTGAAGCGAACGTGAAAACCACTACCACGGAACCGCACAATGGTAGGGAACGTCTTGAATTAAAGACAGAATTAAAGCTTGTACACTAAATTAGATATCAATTGACAATATTAAGTGTTTAAAAAGAAAGGTACTAAAAATAAATATCCCCCGCGTAAATTTCCCATGCGTATCACCCTGCAACGCATTCCGTGGTTTGTAAAAACCGGGCTTGGTTCCGTCCGATCAACCGAAGACCTTTCGCGTGAAGGAACGTGAAAACCACTACACTACGGAACCGCACAATAGTATAGGAACGTCTTGAATTAAAAAAAATTAAAGCTTGTAACAAATTAGATATACATGCCATTATTAGCGTGATTAAAGAAAAAGTACGTAAAATAAAATACCCCCCGTGAATTCCATAGCGTATTCACCCGGCAACGCATTCCGTGGGATAAAGTAAAACACTCCGGCTTGGTTCCGTCCGGAGGCAAAACAGAGACGTTTTCAAAAAGACAACGTTTTTAACCACAATACAAAAACCGCCAAATAGGGGGAACGTTTTGGTTTAAAGAAAAGATTTAAACTTTAACCTAAAAGATAATAACAAATAATGACGTATTAATTTAAAGCGTACATTTAAAAATAATGGGTTAACCCCCCGGTGAAGATTCCAAAACGGTATTAATATCTGAAACCACCCGTTTGGGTAAGGATAAAAACTCCGGCCCTTTCCCGTGGGAAAAGAACCGGAACCTTTCGTGGAAGAACGTGATAACCACTACATACGGAAACCCGGGCAAATGGTATGGAACGCTTGAATTAAAGGCAGGATTAAAAAAGTTGACCTAATTGATACCTTGACTTTTATTACACAAAAGGGTTAAATAAAGCTACGAAAAATAAAAATTATCCGGGTAGTAAAATCAATGCGTATTCCCCCTGCAACGCATTCCGTTGGGATAAAAGGGAAAACCTCGGCCGTTTTCCTTTCCGGGAAAATAACGGCCCTGCTTGAACGAACTGGATAACTTTTACATTCCCACAATAGGTGGGCCCGTCTTGAATTAAAAGGCGTTTTAAAAGCTTGTACACAAAAGAATCATGCCAAAATTTTTGCACGTGTTTAAAAAGTAAAGCGTACAAAAATAAAATTACCCCCGGTGAATTCCATAGCGATTCATTTGCAACGCATTCCGTGGATAAATAAAACACTCCGGCCTTGGTTCCGTCCGGGATCGAACCGGAGACTTTTCCGGGGAAGAACGTGATAACCACTACACTACGGAACCGCAAAAAGGTGGGAACGTCAAATTTAAGAGACAAAATTTAAGCTTGTACACAAATTAGATATCATTGACATATATTATGCACGGAAAAGAAAGGTACAAAAAATAAGAATTATCCTCGCGTGAATTCCATAGCGTATTCACCCTGCAACGCATTCCGTGGGATAAGTAAAAACACTCCGGCATTTGGTTCGTCCGGGATCGAACCGAGACCTTTTCGCTTATTGAGAAGCGAACGTGATAGCTTTTCACTACACTACGGAACCGCACAATGGGTAGGGAACGTCTTGAATTAAAGAGACAGATTTAAAGAAGCTTGGCCGCACTAAATTAGATATACATTGACATATATTATGCATGTGATTAAAGTAAAGCGTACAATAAAAATAAATTATCCCCTCGCGTGAATTCCATAGCGTATTCACCCTGCAACGCATTCAGTAAGGATAAAGTACAAAACACTCCGGCCCTTGGTTTCCGTCCGGGATCCGAACCGGAGACCTTTCGGCGAACGTGACTTTCACTACACTGGAACCGCGCACAATAGGTAGGGAACGTCTTGAATTAAAGAGACAGGAATTAAAGCTTGTACACTAAATTAGATATCATTGACATATTATGCGTGATTAAAGTAAAGCGTACCGCAGTAAAATAAGGGTATCCCTCGCGTGAATTCCCATAGCGTATTCACCTACAACGCATTCCGTGGGATAAAATAAAAACTACTCCGGTGCTTGGTTCCGTCAGGTCCGAACCGGAACCTTTCGCGTGAAGCGAACGTGATAGCTCCCGCACTACGGAACCGCACAATAGGTATGGAACGTCTTGAATTAAAGACAGAATTAAAACGTACACTAAATTAGATATCATTGACATATATTATGCACGTGATTAAGTAAAGCGTACAATAAGAATTTATCCTCGCGTAGCGAATTCCATAGCGTATTCACCCTGCAACGCATTCCGTGGGATAAAATAAAACACTCCGGTGCTTGGTTCGTCGGGGATCGAACCGGGGCCTTTTCGCGTGTGAGAAGCGAACGTGATAACCACTACTACGGAACCGCACAATAGGTAGGGAACGTCTTGAATTAAAGAGACAGGAGTAAAGCTTGTACACTAAATTAGATATCATTGACATATATTATGCACGTGATTAAGAGTAAAGCGTAGTAAAAATTATCCTCGCGTGAGATTCCGCGTATTCACCCTGCAACGCATTCCGTGGGATAAAGTAAAAACACTCGGCATTTGGTTCACCGTCGGGATCGAACCGGAAACCTTTCGCTTGTGAAGCGAACGTGATAACCACTACACTACGGAACCGCACAATAGGTAGGAACGTCTTGGATTAAAGAGACAGATTTAAAGCTTGTACACTAAATTAGATATCATTGACATATATTATGTACGTGATTAAAGTAAAGCCATTACCAATAAAAATAGAGTATCCCTCGTGTGGTCATGGCGTATTCACACTGCAACGCATTCCGTGGGATAAGAGTAAAAACACTCCGGCCCTTGGTTCCGTCCGGGTTCGAACCGGAAACCTTTCGCGTGAAGCGAACGTGATATACTACACTACGGAACCGCACAATAGGTAGGGGAACGTCTTGAATTAAAGAGGGCAAAATTAAAGCGTACACTAAATTAGATATCATTGACATATATTATGCAAAGTGATTAAAGAGTAAAGCGTACAGTAAATAAAAAATTATCCCCTCGCGTGAATTCAGCGTATTCACCCTGCAACGCATTCCGTGGGGATAAAATTAAAACACTCCGGCCCTTGGTTCCGTCCGGATCGAACCGGAGACGCTGCGTGTGAAGCGAACGTATTGCTCCACTACACTACGGAACCGCACAATGGGTAGGGAACGTCTTGAATTAAAGAGACAGAATTAAAGAAAAGCTTGTACACTAAATTAGATATCATTGACGCATATATTATGCACGTATTGATTAAAATTAAAGCGTACAATAAAATAAATTATCCCTCGCGTGAATTCCATAGCGTATTCACCCTGCAACGCATTCCGTGGGATAAAATGCGTACTCGGTGCCCGGTTCCGTCGGGATCCGAACCGGGGCAACTTTCGCGTGTGGAAGCGAAGACGTGATAACCACTACACACCGGAACACTGGCCGTTAGGGAACGTCGGGTCAAAGGCAGATTAAAGCTTGTACACTAAATTGAATATGTTGACATATTTATGCACGTGATTAAGAGTAAGCGTACAATAAAAATAGAGGTATCCCCTCGCGTGAATTCCGCAGCGTATTCACCCTGCAACGCATTCCGTGGGATAAAGTAAAACACTCCGGCCCTTGGTTTGTCCGGGATCGAACCAGGGGGCGCGTGTAAAACGAACGTGACCACTACGGAACCGCACTGTGGTGAGAACGTCTTGAATTAAAGAGACAAATTAAGCTTGTACACTAAATTAGATATCATTGACATATGTATGCACGTGATTAAAGTAAAGCGTACAATAAAGAGTATCCCCTCGTGAATTCCATAGCGTAATCACCCTGCAACGCATTCCGTGTGGGATAAGAGTAAGAACTTACTCCGGCATTTTGGTTCCGTCGGGATCAGACGGAGGAACCTTTCGCTTATTGAAGCGAACGTGATAACTTTCCACTACACTACGGAGCCGCACAATAGGTAGGGAACGTCGCCCAATTAGGGCGATTTAAAGCTTACTTTCAAATTAGATATCATTGACATATATTATACATGGTGAGTAAAGAAGCGTACAATACGAAATAAAGAATTATCCCTAACGTGAATTCCGCTAGCGTATTCACCCATACCAACGCATTCAGGTAAGGACGTATACTGTAGCAAAGTAAAAACACTCCGGCCCTTGGTTCCGTCCGGGATCGAACCGGAGACCTTCGCGTGTGAAGCGGGCGTGATAACCACACACTACGGAACCGCACCCAATAGGTGAGGAACGTCTTGAATTAAAGAGACAGAATTAAAGCTTGTACGCTAAATTAGATATCATTGACATATATTATGCACGTGATTAAAGTAAAGCGTACAGTAAAAATAAAATTATCTCGCGTGAGATTCCATAGCGTATTCACCCTGCAACATTCCGTGGGATAAATTAAAACACTCGGTGCTTGTGAGGTTCCGTCCGGGGGATCGAACCGGGGGCCTTTCGCGATGTGGAAGCGAACGTGATGCCCACTACACTACGGAACCGCACAATAGGTATGGAACGTCTTGAATTAAAGGGGCAAGGGATTAGCTTACGTACACTAAATTAGATATCAATGACATATATATTATGCACGTGATTAAAGTAAAGCGTACAATAAAATTATCCTCGCGTGAATTCCATAGCGTATTCACCCTGCAACGCATTCCGTGGGATAAAATAAAACCTCCGGTGCTTGGTTCCGTCAGGATCGAACCGGAGACCTTCCGCGTGTGAAGCGAACGTGATAACCACTACACTACGGAACCGCACAATAGGTATGGAACGTCTTGAATTAAAGAGACAGATTTAAAGCTTGTACACTAAATTAGATATCATTGACATATATTATGCATGTGTGATTAAAATTAAAGGCGTACAATAAAATAAATTATCCCCTCGCGCGCGTGAATTCCACCCAGCGTATTCACCCTGCAACGCATTTCGTGGGATAAGTAAAAACACTCCGGCCCTTGGACAAAGAGTCGGGATCGAACCGGAGACCTTTCGCGTGTGAAGCGGAGCAGTGATATACTACACTACGGAACCGCACAATAGGTAGGGAACGTCTTGAATTAAAGAGACAGAATTAAAAGCTTGTACACTAAATTAGATATCATTTACATATATTATGCACGTGATTAAAATTAAAGCGTACAGTAAAATAAGAATTATCCTCGCGTGAATTCCATAGCGTATTCACCTGCAACGCATTCCGTGGGATAAAATAAAACACTCCGGTGCTTGGTTCCGTCCAGGGATCGAACCGGAGACCTTTCGCGTGAAGCGAACGTGATAGCTTCCCACTACACTACGGAACCGCACAATAGGTATGGAACGTCTTGGATGAAGAGACAATATTGATTAGAAGTAAAGCGTACCAATAAAATTATCCCCTCGCGCGTGAGATTCCATGGCGTATTCACCCATACGAAAAGCGCATTCCGTGGGATAAAATAAAACTTCCGGTGCTTGGTTCCGTCCGGGATCGAACCGGAGACCTTTCGCGTGTGAAGCGAACGTGATAACCACTACACTACGGAACCGCACAATAGGTATGGAACGTCTTGAATTAAAGACAGATTTAAAGCTTGTACACTAAATTAGATATCATTGACATATATTATGCATGTGATTAAAGTAAAGCGTACAATAAAAATAAAATTATCCCCTCGCGTGAGATTCCATAGCGTATTCACCCTGCAACGAATTCCGTGGGATAAGAGTAAAACACTCCGGCCCTTGTGGTTCCGTCAGGATCGAACCGGAGACCTTTCGCTGATGTGAAGCGAACGTGATAACCGCACTACACTACGGAACCTGCGCACAATAGGTAGGGAACGTCTTGAATTAAAGAGACAAGGAATTAAAGCTTGTACACTAAATTAGATATCATTGACATATATTATGCACGTGATTAAAGGCAAAGCGTACAGTAAAATAAGAATTATCCTCGCGTGAATTCCATGGCGTATTCACCCTGCAACGCATTCCGTGGGATAAAATAAAACACTCCGGTTAGCGGTTCCGTCGGGATCGAACCAGGAGACGCTCGCGTGTGAAGCGAACGTGATAACCACACTACACTACGGAACCGCACAATAGATTTACATGGAACGTCTTGGATTAAAGGGCAGAATTAAAGCTTGTACACTAAATTAGATATCATTGACGCATTATTATGCACGTGATTAGAGTAAAGCTGATACAATAGAAGAATTATCCCCCTCGCGCGTGAGATTCATAGCGTATTCACCCCTGCAACGCATTCCGTGGGATAAAATAAAAACACTCGGTGCTTGGTTCGTCGGGATCGAGCCGGAGACGCTTTCGCGTGTGAAGCGAACGTGATAACCACTTACACTACGGAACCGCACAATAGGTAAGAACGTCTTGAATTAAAGAGACAGAATTAAAGCTTGTACACTAAATTAGATATCATTGACATATATTATGCACGTGATTAAAGAGTAAAGCGTACAATAAAAATTATCCCTCGCGTGAATTCCATAGCGTATTCACCTGCAACGCATTCCGTGGGATAAGTAAAACACTCCGGCATTTGGTTCCGTCCGGGATCGAACCGGAGACCTTTCGCTTATTGAAGCGAACGTGATAGCTTTTCCACTACACTACGGAACCGCACAATAGGTAGGGAACGTCTTGAATTAAAGAGACAGATTTAAAGCTTGTACACACTAAATTAGATATCATTGACATATATTATGCGTGTGATTAAAGAGTAAAAGCGTACAATAAAAATAAAGAGGTATCCCCTAGCGTGAGATTCCGCAGCGTATTCACCCTGCAACGCATTCCGTGGGATAAAGTAAAACACTCCAGGCGCATGGTTCCGTCCGGGATCGAACCGGAGACCTTTCATACGATGTGACGAACGTGATAACCACACTACCACACTTCTGGAACGCACAATGGGTAGGGAACATCTTGAAGATTAAAGAGACAGAATTAAAGCTTGTACACTAAATTAGATATCATTGACATATATGCATGTGATTAAGAGTAAAGCGTACAGTAAAAATAAAATTATCCTCGCATTGTTCCATGACGTATTCACCCTGCAGCATTCCGTGGGATAAAGTAAAACACTCCGGCCTTGGTTTCCGTCAGGATCGAACCGGAGACCTTTCGCGTGAAGCGAACGTGATAACCACTACACTACGGAACCGCACAATAGGTAGGGAACGTCTTGAATTAAAGAGACAGAATTAAAAGCTTGTACACTAAATTAGATATCATTGACATATATTATGCACGTGATTAAAAGTAGAAGCGTACAGTAAAATAAGAATTATTGTGATATGTTGTGGCTACGTGTGTGATGATGTTGTTTGTACTTTCATCAACAAACATATATTCTTGAGGACAACACAATTTATTACGAACTTAAAAAATAATTTTTAAAATTAAGTACGCGGGTAATACTCAAAATGGCCTGACCTCACGCGCGCCGGTGCCTAGAAGCTCACAGCTCTATGCAAAAACCACATTCTTCCCGGAGAGCACAGTGCTACTCCTGGGTGAAGGGAGGAAACACTACACCCCACACAAGATTGATGTGTCACACATGATACTCAGTCGGAAAGCTGTACAACATAAATAAAAGATACATTCATAACATACACTATATACAAGTAACTAGCATTACTTCACACATAAAATAAAAAATAAACCCCATATACAAAATTACACAAAACTAGAATTGAGAAATACCATTTTTGATATAATTAATTATACCATAATAATAAAAATTGGCCCTTAAGGAATTCTTAGAATAAGAACATTAATATAAAAAGAAATATTATTAGAACAGAAACATTAGCATTTTTTTTTTAAAAATGTAAATAAACTACACAAATAATATATAATGAGATACACAAAAGGAGATAAAAATAATTATTCACTAAATCTAAAATTTCCTTTTACAATTGAAAAGCACATTTGTTACACCAATCGGGAGGGTCTGCATCAGCATGAGGCATTTTTCACACCAGGACAATGTTTGATTGTCACATTGAACTTTGTAGTGCAAAGCCCATCTTTAATAGCCTTGCAGATTGTGGTGCACTTTTCGTTAAGTAAGGCAAGGGTTATGATCAGTATAAAATTCAATTTCGGTCCCAAATACCCATACTTCCGAACTTCTTTAAACTCCACACAATCGCAAATGCCTCTCGTTCAATAGTGGACCATGACTGTTGAGTCTTGCTTAATTTTGGCTTGCATAAGCAATTGGGTAACACTTATCACCACATTTTGTGACAGGCAAGCAGCGATGCCAATTTGCGATTAAAAATACAGATAAGAATGGTATACACACGGTTTATCAGGCACTGGAGGTACAGCGAAGGTGCTTCCACTAACGCCTTTTCAGAAGATGAAAAGGAATCATGTTTCTCAGTCCATGGGATGGAATCAGGTACTCTTTTTGGTGAGTTCTGTCAATGGATACACAAGTTCTGTATATTTAGGAATATATATTCGCGGTAGTAATTACACAGTCCAAGTACACTACGAAGCTCCTTCTTCGTTTGGAAGCGCACTGGTAAACTGTTGATAACCACAGTCTTTTTCGGGATCTGGTTCATGCTTACCAGAACCGATAATATGACAAATATTTAATTTGAGTTTTTCCAAAGGCACACTTTTTAGATTCACCGTGAGAATTTAACTCCTGAAAGTTTCGTTAAAACAGTATCAGATGAAAGATGTTCTTCCCAATTTTTTGGAGAAGATTGCGATGTCGTCGATGTGGGGCACGTGAAAATTCTCTCTATAACACACGATAATGCTTTTGTTCATTTCACGCTGAAATGCTTAGCAGATGCATTTTCAAACAAAACTCATCACCTTGAAACGGTACTGTTGCCGATGAGTCTTGAAAGATGTAAGATTTTGCTGTCTTCAGCCATGGGTATATAGCCCAATACCCCTTCAAAAGAGATCTAACGTTGTGATGATATTGGCTCTTCCAATGGAATGTATGAGCTCCACTGCATCTTCCATAGGAAAATCATCAAGAAACACTCTCCAGTTAAGAGCTCTGAAGTCAACGCAAAGTCGCAGGGTACCATCTTTCTTGTTAACGCAAACAATTGGATAGGCTATTTCTGCGTCGGATTCTTCAATTAAATCAAGTCGCAGCTCTATCTGCTCATAACTTTAATCTTCAAGGACTCTGGGGATTACGCGATATACGAACGGCTTTTACGTTTAATGTTGTTCGGCTTTAAGCAGCGGAATTCGATTGGTCCCTACTTTGGCTATTTTCACATCACTTGTGAATGGTGTCTGTGCTTTAGAAGAATTGCTAACACTTGTTCTCTCTCCAGTCTCTTCAGATGATTCAGATCGGTTTCATGTAGAACTCTTTCAGATGTGGACCTCGATAAATTAGAATTGGGATGGATTTCGCCGAATTCGTGGTCATCTTCAAAAATAACTCCAACTGCAAGTGCACGCGAATGATACTTCCTGATCTTGTACGTGAACATGTATACCTGGTTACGTCCGGGCAGTTTAACTTTATATGAATGGGGTGGATGGTGAATTATCTCTCCAGGTCAGTCCATCTCGCATAGATCTTATTACTAGAATCTGTTATCCAGCGAAACAACTTGTTCGCCATTGCTTCCAATTTGTACACACTGATGACCTCTTGTTAGAGTAATCTCCATAAGCCTTTTGTTTCTGAGCAGCGGTTAAGGATGCACTCTCGAAGCCTTTTCCATTTTATCTTCATTTTCCTGAAGGTAATGGGCAAGCTATTGATTGGGAGGAAATGTTCATTCGGAAGACGTATTTCGCCTGCCAAGGATGATTTAAATTGCCAATGGCCCTCGAGCTTCTCTGCCATAAAGTAATCTAAATGGTGATACACCAGTGAAGTAGTGTTCGGTACTTCACGGTATGCAAACAACAGAAAAGGTGGTGTCGATCCCAGCTTCTTGGGTCAATGGCCTTCACGAGAATAACGTGATGAAGCATGTCCTTCAATACCTTATTCCATCTTTCAACTAGTCCGTTGCTGGGCAGGGTATCCAGGACAGGAAAACCTAGAGTTCTAGATCCAATCCTAAATAAATTCTTGGGTTAAAAGCCGACTTGAAGTTTGTGCCGCGATCACTGGCAATTATACTCGGAATTCAGTCCTCGAGAATATTTCTAATAGAGAGTCACATGCAGTTTTGGCTGTTAGGGATCTAAGTGGTACTGCTTCAGGCCAACGTGTATGTTGATCCATCATACAAAGAACGTATTTATGCCCTCTGCCAGATGGCGGTTGAATAGGTCCGATCACATCTATGTTTACAATCTCAAGGCTGGGACGGACAATGGTGGTGTAATGGGGCTCTATCTCAATTTTCTCACGCTTCCAGAAGCTGACACCGCTTTGCATGTCTGGACGAACTCAGCAATTTCCCTAGACATGTTGGCCAAAAGAAATTATATTTTATCACTACTCTTTTGTTTCTTAACTCCCATATGACCTCCAAAAGAAGAGCGGCTCATGGGCTAGCTTCATTACTATCTATTCTGCAACTGCGGTAAAACTAATTGCATGATTGGTTCATTTAGAATTTTATCCCTGTGATAAATTAACCCATCAATTAATAAAAATTTCCTTTTATCTAATTTTAACTCTGCACGAACCTTTTCAAAGAATCACAATTATTCTGCTCATCTTTCATTTTAGTGTAATCCGAATTAAAATTTATATTAGCTGAGTCACTCTCAACATAAAATATATCTTTCTCGCACTCTGCTTCATTTTCATCATTTGAAAACGCAATAGAACTATCCAGCCGATTCGGCAAAAAATCTCATTTTCTTTTTTATTACTTTTCGTCATTTATTGGCGAACACAAAGATTCATATAAAGAGAAGGAGGTATTAAAGCCTCAACATTCAGGCCCACCTGTGATCGCTACCAAGCAATCCATTGGATGATTCAAAGAGGTATTATCAAGAGCTATAGTGGTTTTAATTAGTTTGCTTCTACATTCTCTCCAAATGCAGAGCTTAAAGTAATTTTTCAAATTCATCATTACAAATTATCTGGAAGGTATCAGATTACATATAAAAATCTGGGTTCCGCTATCAAAACCACAATTTATTGCTTTCCCGTTAATATAAACAGTTACATATTTTAAAGGCTCAAGGTCAACTTTCGGTTGTACATATTGCACTTGAGAAGTTTCTTTTTTTTTCTCATTTTTTTAATTTAGAATATTTTTATTACAGTCTCGGAGCTAAATGGTTTTCATACCAAATGTAACATTCTATTTTTTTATTTACAGCTTTGTTTTGAGTTATTAATTTTATTTTCTTTCAATTGAGATTTATTACTTCCGTCTCTCGAGGTTAGGAGGGGATATATTTAAAAATCCTTTCGTGAGTCATTCTGATTATGACATGCTCTGTATGTGAAAATTCGAAAATGATCTTCCTTTACAAGCATAAAAACATGTCACACACTCTTTTCCCATTTGAATTGGTTTTGAACCAATTTTGCTCTGTTTTGCCTCTATTTATATGAACGGCAGTTTCATTATCTAGCGTTTGATATAATTTATCGCTAACAATTAACTCCTTTTAAAGAATCAAAATCATTTACATTTCTCAAATTACAGTATTGATCCCAATTGGTTAACAAACGAGATACAAACTGAACATGCGTTTCATTTGGCATTCGTTTCGCTTTTGAAAATTTTGCAAGCAAATTAAGGTGTTGGCTCAAATTCTCTTAGAACTAAACTTTTTAATTTATCATAGTCGCTTATTTCTTCATCTTTTTACATAAATTAAAATATTTTCGGCTTTTCTCCTAGCAGATTTAAAAGAATTTCTCCCTTAAATTCACCGGCACATTTTGGTTTTAAATAGACGCTCTAGAAAGAAAAAATAAATTCCACCCTTCTTGTTTTTTAGGAATCGGAAGAGTCAATGTACGAACACTTACAATAAAATTTTCTATTGAGTTTGCTTTGTTTCAGGATTTGTACCTTTTAACACATTGCTATCCCTTTGACTTTCAATTTTGCCCCTTTCTAAATTTATTTTCCCAATTCTATTTCCAATTTAACTTTTCCAGTTGTATTTTTCAGAACTCAAGCTGCGATTCTGCCGTTAAACGGGCTTGTTCTTCCTTCGATTTTCTATCCCCAATAATCGAATCTAAATATTAGTCATCAATAAACTCTTTATTGGTTTTATACTTTTCGCTATTTAAAAAGGGGTAAATTTTTTAAATCTAACACTTTCATTTCTGGGTTACTTTCTCCCCAATTCATCCACCAATTAATATTAATTCTTCCTTTCTAGCTCCACGAAACATGATTGGGCAAATTATACTAAATGAATTAATTAACCCAGAAATTTAGTAAAAAAATCTCTGCTGAATTCGCTCAAAACGATGCAAAGGATTGCCTACCTCGTAGTTTCTTTTTTGATGTCTTGACTCGCTCCAGGCGTCGAATCCTGTCGGCTGCGCCAATGTGATATGTTGTGTGGCTACGTGTGTGATGTTGTTGTACTTTCATCAACAAACATATTCTTGAGGACAACACAATTTATTACGAACTTAAAAAATAATTTTAAAATTAAGTGACCCACGCGGGTAATACTCAAAATGGCCACCGACTCACGCGCCGGTGCCTAGAAGCTCACAACTCTATACTAAAAACCACATTCTTCCGGAGAGCACAGTCACCTCCTGGTGAAGGGAGGAAACTTACTAATTATCCCTCGCGTGAATTCCATGGCGTATTCACCCTGCAACGCATTCCGTGGGATAAAATAAAACACTCCGGTGCTTGGTTCCGTCCGGGATCCGAACCAGGCAACTCGCGATATTGAAGCGAACGTGATAACCACTACACTACGGAACCGCACAATAGGTATGGAACGTCTTGAATTAAAGAGACAGATTTAAAAGCTTGTACACTAAATTAGATATCATTGACATATATTATGCACGTGATTAAGTAAAGCGTGCAATAAAATAAAATTATCCCCTCGTGTGTGAATTCAAAAGCGTATTCACACTGCAACGCATTCAGTGGGATAAAAATGCATAAAACACTCCGGCCTTGGTTCCGTCCGGGTTCGAACCGGAAACCTTTCGCGTGTGAAGCGAACGTGTTAACCACTACACTACGGAACCGCACAATAGGTAGGGAACGTCTTGAATTAAAGAGACAGAATTAAAGCGTACACTAAATTAGATATCATTGACATATATTATACGTGATTAAAGTAAAAGCGTACAGTAAAATAAATTATCCCTCGCGTGAATTCCATAGCGTATTCACCCTGCAACGCATTCCGTGGGGAAAAAATAAAACACTCCGGTGCTTGGTTCCGTCCGGGATCGAACCGGAGACCTTTCGGTTTAAAGCGAACGTGAAAACCACTACACTACGGAACCCACAATAGGTATGGAACGTTTTGGGAATTAAAGAGACAGATTTAAAGCTTGTACACTAAATTAGATATCATTGACATATATTATGCACGTGATTAAAGTAAAGCGTACAATAAAAAGAATTATCCTCGCGTGAATTCCATAGCGTATTCACCCTGCAACGCTTTCCCGTGGGATAAGAGTAAAACACTCCGGCCCTTGGTTCCGTCGGGTTCGAACCGGGACTTTCGCGTTGAACGACGTGATAACCACTACACTACGGAACCGCACAATAGGTAGGAACGTCTTGAATTAAAGAGACAGTTTTAAAAAGCGGCACTAAATTAAAATTATCATTGACATATATTATCCCGTGATTAAAGTAAAGCGTACAATAAAAATAAAATTACCCCTCGTGTGAATTCCTAGCGTATTCACACTGCAACCATTCCGTGGGATAAATAAAACACTCCGGCCCTTGGTTCCGTCCGGGTTCAAACCCGGAAACCTTTCGCGTGTGAAGCGAACGTTTTAACCACTACACTACGGAACCGCACAATAGGTAGGGAACGTCTTGAATTAAAGAGACAGATTGAAAGCTGCACTAAATTAGATATCATTGACATATATTTATGCGTGATTAAAGTAAAGCGTACAATAAAATAAAATTATCCTAGCGTGAATTCCATAGCGTATTCACCCTGCAACGCATTCCGTGGGATAAAGTAAAACACTCCGGCCCCTTTGGGTTTCCCGTCCGGGACCCGAACCGGAGACCTTTCGCGTGTGAAGCAAAAGTGATAACCACTACACTACGGAACCGCACAATAGGTGGGAACGTCTTGAATTAAGAGACAGATTTAAAGCTTGTACACTAAATTAGATATCATTGACATATATTATGCACGTGATTAAAGTAAAGCGTCCCAATAAAATAAGATTACCCCTCGCGTGAATTCCATAGCGTATTCACCCTGCAACGCATTCCGTGGGATAAAGTAAAACACTCCGGCATTTGGTTCCGTCCGGGATCGAACCGGAGACCTTTCGCGATTGAAGCGAACGTGATACCACTACATTCGGAACCGCAATGAGGTAGGGCGTCTTGAATTAAGAGACAGAATTAAAACTTGTACACTAAATTAGATATCATTGACAATATTATGCACGTGTTTAAAAAGTAAAGCGTACATAAAATAAAATTATCCTAGCAAATTCCATGGCGTATTCACCTGCAACGCTTTCCCGTGGGATAAAATAAAACACTCCGGTGCTTGGTTCCGCCCGGGGATCGAACCGGAACCTTTCCGATAAGGGAACGTGATAACCCACTACACTACGGAAACCCGCACAATAGGTATGGAACGTCTTGAATTAAAGAGACAGATTTAAAGCTTGTACACTAAATTAGATATCATTGACATATATATGACGTGATTAAAGTAAAGCGTACAATAAAAATAAATTATCCCTCGCGTGAGATTCCATAGCGTATTCACCCTGAAACGCATTCCGTGGGATAAAGTAAAACACTCCGGCCTTGGGTTTTCCGTCCGGGTTCGAACCGGAACCTTTCGCGTGTGAAGCGAACGTGATACCACTCCCTCGGAACCGCACAATAGGTAGGGAACGTCTTGAATTAAAGAGACAGATTTAAAGCTTGTACACTAAATTAGATATCATTGACATATATTATGCACGTGATTAAAGTAAAGCGTACAATAAAAATAAAATTATCCCTCTTTGAATTCCATGGCGTATTCACACGAAACCCATTCCGTGGGATAAGAAAACACTCCGGCCCTTGGTTCCGCCCGGGTTCGAACCGGAAACCTTTCGCGTGTGAAGCGCGGATAACCACTACACTACGGAACCGCACAATAGGTAGGGAACGTCTTGAATTAAAGAGACAGATTGAAAGCTTGTACACTAAATTAGATATCATTGACATATATTATGCACGTGATTAAAGTAAAGCGTACAATAAAATAAATTATCCCTAGCGTGAATTCCATGCGTATTCACCTACAGGCATTCCGTGGGATAAAGTAAAACACTCCGGCCCTTGGTTCCGTCCGGGATCAGACGGAGACCTTTCGCGTGTGAAGCGAAAGTGATAACCACTACACTACGGAACCGCACAATAGGTAGGGAACGTCTTGAATTAAAGAGACAGATTTAAAGCTTGTACACTAAATTAGATATCTTTGACATAAAATTATGCACGTGATTAAAGTAAAGCTACAATAAAAAAAAATTATCCCTCGCGTGAATTCCATAGCGTATTCACCCTCACGCATTCCGTGGGATAAAGAGTAAACACTCCGGCCTTTGGTTCCGCCCGGGATCGAACCGGAGACCTTTCGCGATGTGAAGCGAACGTGATACCACTACATTACGGAACCGCACTGGTGGGAACGTTTTGGGAATTAAAGGACAGAATTAAAGCTTGTACACTAAATTAGATATCATTGCCCATATATTATGCACGTGATTAAAGTAAAGCGTACAATAAAAATAAGAATTATCCTACTGAATTCCATAGCGTATTCCCCCTCAACGCATTCCGTGGGATAAAGTAAAACACTCCGGCCCTTGGTTCCACCCGGGATCGAACCGGAGACCTTTCGCGTGTGAAGCGAACGTGATAACCACTACACTCGGAACCGCACAATAGGTATGGAACGTCTTGAATTAAAGGGCAGATTTAAGCTTGTACACAAAATTGTATCATTGACATATATTATGCACGTGATTAAAGTAAAGCGTACAATAAAAATAAAATTATCCCAAACTGAATTCATAGCGTATTCACCTGCAACGCATTCCGTGGGATAAAGAAAAAACACCCCGGCCCTTGGTTCCGTCCAGGATCAAACCCGGGGAGACCTTTCGCGATGTTGAAGCGAACGTGATAACCACTACACTACGGAACCGCACAATAGGTAGGGAACGTCTTAAATTAAAGAGACAGAATTAAAGCTTGTACACTAAATTAGATATCATTGACATATATTATGCACGTGATTAAAGTAAAGCGTCAATAAAAAAAAATTATCCCTCGCGTGAATTCCATAGCGTATTCACCTGCAACGCATTCCGTGGGATAAAGTAAAACACTCCGGCCCTTGGCTCCGTCGGGATCGAACCGGGCCTTTCGCGTGTGAAGCGAACGTGATAACCACTACACTACGGAACCGCACAATAGGTAGGGAACGTCTTGAATTAAGAGACAAAATTTAAAAACGTACACTAAATTAGATATCATTGACATATATTATGCAGTGATTAAAGTAAAGCGTACAATAAAAATAAATTATCCTCGCGTGAATTCCATAGCGTATTCACCCTGCAACGCATTCCGTGGGAAAAAGGGTAAAACACTCCGGCCCTTGGTTCCGTCCGGGATCGAACCGGAGACCTTTCGCGTGTGAAGCGAACGTGATAACCACTACACTACGGAACCGCACAATAGGTAGGGAACGTCTTGAATTAAAGAGACAGAATTAAAGCTTGTACACTAAATTGATATCATTTGCCATATATTATCCCGTGATTAAGTAAAGCGTACAATAAAAATTACCCCCTCGCGTAAATTCCATGGCGTATTCACCCTCCCAAACGCATTCCGTGGGATAAAGTAAAACACTCCGGCATTTGGATCCGCCCGGGATCGAACCGGAGACCTTTCCTTTTAAAAAGCGAACGTGATTCACACACTACGGAACCGCAATATAGGTAGGGAACGTCTTGAATTAAAGAGACAGATTTAAAGCTTGTACACTAAATTAGATATCATTGCCATATATTATGCACGTGATTAAAGTAAAGCGTACTGTAAAAATAAAAATTATCCCCTCGCGTGAATTCCATAGCGTATTCACCCTGCAACGCATTCCGTGGGATAAAATAAAACACTCCGGCATTTGGTTCCGTCCGGGATCAAAACCGGAGCCCTTTTTCGCTTTGAAGCGAACGTGATATTTTCCACTACACTACGGAACCGCACAATGGGTAGGGAACGTCTTGAATTAAAGAGACAGATTTAAAGCTTGACACTAAATTAGATATCATTGCCATATATTATGCAGGTTAAAGTAAAGCGTACAGTAAAATAAAAATTATCCCTCGCGTGAATTCCATGGCGTATTCACCCTGCAACGCATTCCGTGGGATAAAGAAAAAACCCCTCCGGCATTTGGTTCCGTCCGGGATCGAACCGGAGACCTTTCGCATGAACGAACTTGATATACTACACTACGGAATCGCACAATAGGTATGGAACGTCTTGAATTAAAGAGACAGATTTAAAGCTTGTACACTAAATTAAAATATCATTGCCATATATTATGCCGTGATTAAAGTAAAGCGTACAGTAAAAATAAAATTATCCCTCGCGTGAATTCCATGCGTATTCCCCTAAAACCCATTCCGTGGGAAAAATAAAACACTCCGGCATTTGGTTCCGTCCGGGATCGAACCGGAACCTTTCCTTGAAGCGAACGTGATCCACTACACTACGGAATCGCACAATAGGTATGGAACGTCTTGAATTAAAGAGACAGTTTTAAAAAGCTTGTACACTAAATTGATATCATTGCCATATATCATGCACGTGATTAAAGTAAAGCGTACAGTAAAATAAAATTATCCTCGCGTGAATTCCGCAGCGTATTCACCCTGAAACCCATTCCGTGGGATAAGTAAAACACTCCGGCATTTGGTTCCGTCCGGGATCAAAACCGGAGACCTTTCGTTTTTGAACGAACGTGATAACCACTAAACTACGGAACCGCACAATGGGTAGGGAACGTCTTGAAAAAAGGGTTAGATTTAAAGCTTGTACACTAAATTAGATATCATTGCCATATATTATGCACGTGATTAAAGAAAAAGTACTGTAAAATAAGAATTATCCTCGCGTGAATTCCATAGCGTATTCCCCCTGCAACCTTCCGTGGGATAAAGTAAAACACTCCGGCGCTTGGTTCAGCCCGGGATCGAACCGGAGCCCTTTTTCGCGTGTGAAGCGAACGTGATAACACTACACTAGGAACCGCACAATGGTGGGAACGTCTTGAATTAAAGAGACAGTTTTAAAAAGCACACTAAATTAGATATCATTGCCATATATTATGCACGTGATTAAAAGTAAAGCTACAGAAAAAATAAGAATTATCCTCGTGTGAATTTCCCCAGCGTATTCACCCTGCAACACATTCCGTGGGATAAAATAAAACACTCCGGTGCTTGGTTCCGCCCGGGATCGAACCGGAGACCTTTCGCATGAAGCGAACGTGATACTCACTACACTAGGGAAACCCGCACAATGGTAGGGAACGTCTTAAATTTAAAGAGACAGATTTAAAGCTTGTACACTAAATTAGATATCATTGACATATATTAGCAGTGATTAAAGTAAAGCGTACAAAAAAAATAAGTTATCCCTCGCGTGAATTCCGGCGTATTCACCCTGCAACGCATTCCGTGGGATAAAGTAAAACACTCCGGCGCTTGGTTCCGCCCGGGATCAAAACCGGAGACCTTTTTCGCGTGTGAAGCGAACGTGATATTTTTCCACTACACTACGGAACCGCACAAGGGTAGGGAACGTCTTGAATTAAGAACAGATTTAAAGCTTGTACACTAAATTAGATATCATTGACATATTTATGCACGTGATTAAAGTAAAGCGTACGGGAACGTCGTCAGTCATTCTTACCCAAAAAATTTGTCACAGCCATATTTTAAATAATTAATTCGTATTTAATAGATTCAAAAATAATATTCTTTAAAAATAGGCCAAAGCCGGCGGACAGTCTTTATCACTTGGGTCAATCCCTAGGGCTCCAGCCCTTGGGCTCTATCTCTCCAAGTCCCCCCTCCGTCCAAGTCGCTCCAGGTTTTCTCTTCTCGTCCGATCGTTTTTTTCGTCCGTTTTCTTCCTTCTCCGTCAAATTCACCCCTTTTTAAATACCAGGGGCGGGTCCACCACGCGCCCCTCGTTCTCCTCATTGGCAGGTCAAAAGAAAAGGGTCGGCCCTCGTCTTCTGATTGGCAGGTCAAAAGGTCTGCCCTCGTCCCGGGCCATCTGCGTCCCTCAATTTCGCAAAAACACGAACATATTCACCATCCGTCTCAATCCGGGGGCGCCCTACATCTATTCATCTCACACCGGGCTACGCCCCTCTCTCATCGTCTTTTTTAAATTTC